ATATAAAGCCATGTACATGTCATATAAATATATGCAGAAAATTCACAACTCCAATATCATGCACCGCAAAATAATCACATATCGAAATTGTCATCAACATTGAAGATTCCAGGCTCTCCGCCTTCGTGGGTCTTGTGAACACCAGTCATACGGTGATCGTCAAAGCCCCCAGGGCGGTGAGGACGCTGCCACGTATCAGGGTCCTCGTCCATATGGTCTGTAGGTTCATGTTTTAAATGATGGTCAATTGAGCTCTCGTTAACGAAAGTGAAGCCTTTGAAGTTAGCTTGCAAACCCGGCGACAGCGGGGTCGATGCTGGCATGTAGCTATTTGCTACTGCCGCTGCACGGTCATTCAACGTGGCGTTGGCATTCGTGAACTCGGGATCGAAGTTGGACGTATCTGTATCGGATTTGAGTTTCGGTTTGAACGGTGGGATGACCTGTTTCTTGGACAAAGCCTCCCAGTCTACATCATGGAAAAATGGGTGTTCCTTGAGCTCTTTGGCATCTGCCTTGGCACCCAATCTGTGCTTCGGATTGCGGTTGAGCAAGCCTTTCACGAAGTTTCTTCCTTCGGTGCTTAGCGCGTCTCGTGGGAACCTAACTTTGCCGAAAGCGATATTCTTATACATTTGCTGGGTATCTTCGGCGTAGAAAGGACTCCAACCGCAACACATCTCGAAGACGAGCACACCCAGAGACCAGAAGTCAACCATCTTGGTGTACCCTTGCTCGTCGAGTAGGACTTCCGGTGCTAGATACTCGGTTGTACCGCAAAATGTGTTTGTGGTGTCATTCTGGGCGAGGTTGGCTTTGGATAATCCAAAGTCACAGAGTGCGATGTGACCGTTAGCGTCAAGAAGGATGTTCTCCGGTTTCAGATCGCGGTAAACGATGTCGTGCTCGTGGAGATGTTGAAGAGCCAAGATAAGCTCTGCGATGTAGAACTTGGCACGGGCCTCCTGGAACCGCCCTTCCTTTTGAAGATGCCAGAAGAGTTCACCCCCTGACATGTAGTCCGTAACGAGGTAGAGATCGGTCGGGGTTTGAAAAGAGAACTTGAGACCGACAATGAATGGAGAG